ATTTCAGCAATTTAGAATGTAATTCTTGGAAGACCAAAAAAAACAGTGAATGTTTGTTTTAGCTAATTTTTTTTAGAAATTTCAAGATTTCTCTGGGCTCACCTGCAAGTTTGGGTTTGTTTGCCAGCTCAGTCAATGGTATTTTTTGAGTTGTTTCGAATTTCCTTTTGCAGTGTCTGTACCAGATCTTGTGATTCTCTCTTTATTGTCTGTTTCTCCTAAAAAAAAATTTAATTAAAAATAACAATATGAGTTTTCATTTCAAGAAACCTTGCCGCTACCATAACTAACACTGCAGCTATATTGTCTTTCGCATGATGGGTTGTGGTGTTGTTAAAGCGGAACTTGGCAACTTTTTCAGCTTAATAAAACCCGTTTAGAAATCTTTGGAGTGGTTAAATATGGCCTGTTTCCGTGAAAATGGTGACCCCTCACCCCCCTCAGGCGACCCCAGGCGGAAACACCAACCTTGCAACTTTGGGATTACACGTCCCGGTAAGTTGGGAAATAGGGAGTACCACGAGAAGCGAGACAGAGCGAGAAAGACGAACGGACTTTATGGCAATTCCACATAAACGCACACGCCGCCTCTCAATAACGGTTAGTGTATAATGTATTACCCATCCTCGGTAGATATTGCTCCACACAAAAAGTATGACCCGGCGAAAAAAAGGCACATCAGCAGTGGTAGAAAGGGGAGGAGGGTGCTGCAAAGTTGAGCTTTTTTTTAGAACGTGTTGTAGAAATTTACACGTCCAGAGCTGTAAGGAGCTCGTTGAAAAAAAAAAAAATGCGGGATTGACAAAAAAGTGAAAACCAGCGAAGAGAATGGTTATGCCAAGTTCCCCTTTAACATCATACATCCCTGTTTTATAATCTGAGCCACCCATAACCGACCTCTCCTCCAGAGGTTGAAGGGCTTTCTGTCGATTGTCCTCCACAACTCTGATCACCTCCGAGAACACAGTGTTGATCTCCAGCCATTCAATATCCAAGCTGCCCTGAAAGGACCAATGGACAGTGAGGATGTTAAAGAAATATTAATCAAACTAAAATCAAAAAAGTAAAAAATTTGCTGCAGCTTACCTTACTGGCTACTACAGATGATCTGACTTCAGATATCTTTTGTTCTCTCATCTGAATCTTCTGCTGCAAATCAGCCTTTATTCTGTCTTGCTTTGCCTTGAATGAAGACAAAATCTACTGTTAGTATGCACACATTGTAGTGACCACAAGCATACACACACACACACACACACACACACACAAGCACAGGACAGTATTGATGAACGTAAAGTGGACTAAAAGTTCAAATCTAATAAATGCCATAAGGCTAAACTAGACGTGCAAAACGATTACAAATTATGATATACCCAATATAGTCTAACATGAGTCAACAGCCATGCTAGCAGCTCTGTGATACTGCACATAGGCAAAGTGTTGCCATGACCGAAATGCTAATGTCGACATGCTAACATGTGCAGCTGATAGCAGGTATAGTATGCTGACATTTTGGAATGAGCACTGAAAACAAAGTAGGGCTTAAGCTGGGGCTGATGGGAAATGTATTTGTGGGGGAAGGTATTTGTTCATAAAACCTAGGCTTCCATCTTGAGTCATGGGATCACCAAAGTAATTCCAACATCTGGTAACCAAGAATGTTTGTATAAAGTTTTGTGAGACATTTCACTGAATAGGTGAAAAAGATTGGCCTCATGGTGGCATTGGATAAAAAGTCAGAGTCACTAAAAACAGTAAGAATTATCCTCTGGGGGCCATGAATGTCTGTACCAAATTCAGGCCTCTAATGAAAAAAAGCCTTATCTAAAATTCATTACATTGTTCTGTTGTCTTATCAATAAGATGACCTTTACATATTCTATATTCCTTTTCTCTTGTCTTTGTTTGCATATTTAGCATTGTTTAGTACCTTTATCAGTTTTTGAGCCTCTCTCTCTTTCTCCCTCTCTTTCTGACGCTCTTTCTCAAGGTATTTCTCTCGCTCTTTCTCCAGGTATTTCTCCAGCTCTTTCTGTCTCTCTTTCTCCAGGTATTTCTCTCGCTCTTTCTCCAGCTCTGTCTGTCTCTCTTTCTCCAGCTCTTTCTGTCCCCCTTTCTCCTTTGGTTGGACTGCTGTGGTCGATGGAAGATCCAAGAACAGTTGCCCAACCTGAAGGATGAAAGCACTCAGTGAAAACTGGACAGAATGGTGATTTATGTACAATAGAACTCCTGACATACAATAGAACTTCTCAGTCTGCAATGTATCTTTTCAATAAGGATTCATTTGAAAGTGGTACATTGTTACATACATAATACAATATAAAATTTATCCAGCAAGTAAAAATGAAGTTATACAAATGCATCAGGATGGTTGTATTTAAGTGGATTTCTTCTCCTGCAGGAAAATTAAACAAGTTGAGAATCTTCTGTACCTGCTGAGCACCAGTGGAGAAATCAAGCGCCCGGCGAGCTTTGGTGGCGGTTTGATGAACGTGCTCCGGAGTTTGAAACACTGTAGAGAAAGAAGATGGTCACTGTCAAACAAGGCTGCTTTGAATCGTTTCTATCAGTTATTTCTGTTCTGGTCCCGTTATGAATTAAGTACAGTTACAGCACATACGTGATTGGTTTGTGTCCTTCACTTTGACTTCTGTGGCTGCAGGGTTTGCTTGGGTGCTGAGGGTCTGAAACACGGGCATCAGGACAGTCTGTCAGAGAAAAGTGGAAGGAAACATTTGAGCTTTTCCAGGTCAGTCCACAACACTTAAACCTGTTTTTACAAATGCATTAGCCTATCATATAACGTTTTATTATCCATAAATCAGTTTTGTATTATGGACAACAAGTTAGATCAAATATATGTTTCTATTTTGTCCAGAACTAATCATGCAAGAAAAGTGGTTGTTACAAGAAGCAACGAGGTTACAAAAATAAAAGGTAAATTACATTTTTATATAGCATCCGGGTGAAGTTATTTAAGCTGAAACTGCATTTTTTCCACATCAGGATGTTTAAACAAGTCGAGAATCTGCCGTACCTGCTGTGCACCAGTGGAGAAATCTTGAACTTTGTCCAAGTTGGTGGCGGTTTGATAAGAGCGCTGTGGAGTTCCAAACACTGTAGAGAAAGAAGATGGTCACTGTCAGACAGAGCTCCTTCAAATGGATTCTATATATTATTCCTGTTATGTTTCCTGTTAAGGTTACAGAGCATACATGAATTGTTGGTCTCCTTCACTTTTATTTCTGGGGCTGTAGGATTTGTTTGGCTGCTGAGGGTCTCTAACACCGGCATCAGGAAAGGCTGTCAGAGAAAATAGGAAGACGAGATTTAATGGGTTTTATTCATGAAAGCTGTGCTAAATTACATAAAATAACACTCCTTATTTAATCCTGAACTGATTATGCAAGAAAAGTGATGATTGTCACAGGAGCTCAGAGCTCATCTGGGTGAAGTAAGCTTAGAATACCTGCTGTGCACCAGTGGGGAATTCAAGCGCTGGGAGACTTTTGTCTGAGTTTGTGGTCGTTTGCCATGAGTACTGATTTTCAAGCACTGGAGGGGAAGACGATGGATCAGTGTTAATCTCAGCTGCTTTTGTTTTCAAAGTGTTATTTCCTCTCATAAAAAAAAAAAAAGAATTATAACGCATACCTGATTTCATCATCTCTATTACTCCGACTGTTGGACTCATTGGGGTGGCGAGGTTTGGCGACATCAGCTCATTCTATCAGAGAGAGGTGGACGTTTTTTAGGCTTTCACCTGACACCACAGTGTGTTTCTAGATTATATTAATCTATTTTAATTTGTTTTAAAAAAATCACATATTATACATATTAACTTTTGTCATCATTCAGTATTCCACGACACCGTCTTGTGTCAAATTATCCTATAACTTTATTATCCATGACTATATTTGTATAGTGGACAAGAAGTTATATCCTGAACTGATTATGCAGTTTGTTTTAAAGTCAGTTTTTGTTTGAATGTACCTCCTTCTTGAGCGGAGTGGTGTAAATTGGTCCACTGTCCTCCTGATGAGATTTATCCCATGGATCTCTCCACTTGTACAGTTCATCCTCTGGGATTCTCATTCCTTTTGGCGTGCATCCCATCATCCCCTGGTGAGTCCTCAGCCCATGGTAAGATGTATATTTGGACCAGCCGCAGTGGCAAACCTGGAGACTCGTGTCTGAGTTTGTTCTGTCTGTTTAAGACATTTTTGAAGAAACGGTTTCAACATCAACCATGTTATATTTAGTAGTTTGGGAGTGAATAAAAAAAATGGGTTCAACCAAACTTCTTCTTCTTTACTTTAAGTTTAATAGAGTTAACACTAATATGGGGGTGAAAATAACATCTGTTTTCCTGTCACTGCAGAACATATTTTTTATTCTCACACACTTTAACTGTAACTTTCACTCCTAATACTTCCTACATTTGACTATGATGAATGAATTAGAAAGACATTAGAAAACACCAGTGATACATATATTATTATATTATATTAAATATAAAGGACCATGTATGAACAAAAGGAAGACCTAGTTGTGTTCCACTCACCACACTTTAAAGAAGGGGTGAAAATACTCGTAAAAGGCTCTTCTACTTTGATTGGAGGTCCCACATAGGTAAATTTAGGAACGTGACTGGTCATTCTGTATTGTTCACTCTCAGGGATCCTCATCCCCTTCGGTGTGCATCCGTTCTTCCCCTGGTGAATTCTCAGGCCCTGGTAGGTCGTAGCTTTGGACCAGCCGCAGCAGTTGCAAACCTGGTAGCTCATGTCTGATGTGTTCAGTATCTGAAAAGGTAGAAATGTGCATGTAACAATTACTACTTTCTTTACTTCTGAATATGTTCAGGATTCAGGAACCATATTGTACCAAACACGGAAACAACTGTGACATGACATTCTTACTCTGCCTTTGGTTTCTTGTTTAAAAGCAACACCAATACAGGGAAATAACATGCAGTATTGTCATACTTAGCACATTTTAAGCTGACCGAACCTTTTACATACATACGTTTTGAATGTTAACTTTATTATAACTAATATTCAGGGATGGCATTTTAAGCTTTATTTAAAGATTTAAATGCTCATGAGTCATTTTTGTTAGATATACTGTAAATTGTATTTAAGTCATTTTATTACTTTCATTTCCCTGATGACATATGATGACATACTGTGCTGTTTGCAACACAGATGTGGACTGAGATTATTAGACCATTGACAGCATATGTAGGATTAGACAGTGATTAGTCGCCCTCTAGTGGTACAGAATAAATTGTACAGCATTATTACTCCTACTACTTCCTGCTGCTGGGTACTCACAGCCGGACTAAACCATGAAGTGAAAAAGTTGCGAAAGGAACTTTTACCACAGAAAGTTAGATGCCCATGTAAATAACCACTAAGAAGCATTTTTGATTTGAGGGAGGAGACCAGAGAGGTACAGGATACAGATGCACAGAAAAAAGCATGCATAGATAAAAATGTGAAAAAGCTATGAAGGATCTGTGTTTGTCTAATCAGATCAGTGCATAGATGAAACACTATCTCTGTTACATCCAAAGTTTGACAAGGGATAACATCACAATTAAAAAATGTTTAGTCATTAGTATAGTATACACTTGTGATTATGGAAATCCATTCACAAAATTCAGTGGAACAAGATCTCAAAATAACTTTTTCAGCCAAAGAGCATGAGCTTGTATTCCCGGTGTTTGGCTTTGTACACACCCTGAAACCTGTGGTTTGCCACAATATTTGCACTAATGCCCTGCCCCGTTCCTTCTGTCAGATTATTTGTGTATAATTTGTGTACACTGTCAATCATAGAGAGTTATATAATCTGTAGATTTTAGATTATTTTATCCAAAGGGAGTAATGACCTATAAACACTTTACATAACAAAATACATTTGAATAACTTTTAAACGTCAAAAATTGAAAAGTAATTTCTTTCAAATAAAGAATATAATCATAATCGTAATTTCGCCGACATAAACCACTTCATAAATAACCTGTGTCATATTTTATATGTTATGTTGCATCTTAATTCTAGCAGACATCACAAAGTGCTTTTAAGTAAAAAACTAAATAAAAAAAATAACAGCAAAGTCAGATGTAGATGCACCGCAGCCTACCTTGAGCTGTCTAACCTCGGTGCTCCTCTGTGTGATCTGCCTTTTGTTTACCGTCTCTCCTTCTCTCTTTTCATCCTCAACTGTTTCAGTTTCGTTTCAGGCAAAATAATCCTAACAGTTTCCTTTCATTGCCCAATCAACACTTATCGTAACAGGGTGTTCTTAAGAAACACTGATCAGTTTTTATCGAGTTTATGGACGCTCCTGAAGTCCTGTATTGTGTGATATATCTATATATATATATATATATATATATATATTAAATCTTG